CCCTCGTCAAATGGCGTTTCAAAACAGCTGTATCTTCCTCCTTTTGATTTTTTCCTGTTTTGTAAGCGTGAAAGCATTAGGAGAGGGATCGGGAAACTCAGAAAGCACTTCGGGAATTAGTCTGCCATCGTTTACTTAAAAGATAAACAAGTAAGATTTGTAAAGTTCGTTGAAGTACGAAGTCTAAATAAATGCCTTTTTTAAGCTTGTTTGCTGGATTTTTCGTAAACATCCCTGATTAGTTGTTCGTTTCAACTTACTAATCTATACTATTTCAAAGACGAAGACAGAGAACCATAAGTCGGTCCTTTCAACAATCGTAAACAAAGTGTTTGAGCAATCAGGTATACGAGGTGTAATAATCAATAGCCGCACATTAGAAGTCTTCAGAAAGAAAGTATTCTGTCTTCAGAAGGCTGTCAAGAAAGCTAGTGATCGTAGCGGAAGGCAATTAAATGCGCTTCTTAGCAAGTTGGAAACGGGCTTTCGGTATCGATTTAATATCATATCGATCTAAGTATCATACAGTTTTGTATCTTTCCTCCGTGGATTCGCCTTTCTAACGAGGGTTTCTGTTGAGTATTCACTGCAAAATCGCTTTGTTTTTTTCTTTCTTTGGCTTGTCCGCCATTTTGAAAATTTGTAACGGAGAGCATGCGCATTACGTGGGGTTAATGGTTGCGTACACCTGGAACCGAGAAAAACAAATGTTCGTCGCACTGGGGAAAGAGTTTGATATGTTTACAGCAAAAAAAAAAAAGAAAAAATATTCCCGTTAGTATTCCCCTCGTAACTCCACGATTTATTTTCTAAATTATTTTCGTCATAAGAGTTAAAAAAAAACTAGCTCATCCAGGTCTTCCAAATTGGTGTTCCTGTCCATCAAAATACCAGTGTTGTAGCCGCCCAAGGGAAGACCTTTGCCCCTCGAGCAACGCTTCTCTCGTGCTCTTCAAACCTTCTGCGTGTATTCATACTTCGATATATGCACAATTGCCATCAAAAAGTTTGCTCGTGAAGAAGGAGAATGTTAAATAAATATATTTGATCTAGAACAAGCCTAGGAATCCATCAAACAAAATGTTGAGGGGGGCATTTCAAGTGTATGTGGTTGTACATGCTCCACCAACATGATGTTGGACAAAACATGTTTGATCAGGACTAGAGTATGCCGTTGTGACTCAGACTTAACTATCCCTTACTTGGCTGAGCTCAGCGTTCACCTTAGATTCTTCAATTTTCATCTGATCATGTCAATAATCTTTAAAATAAATAAATTTACATCCAGCTCCCAGGCAGAATAGAAAAGACAGTCTCTGCCCAGGGTCCCAAAGCTAAAAATCGCGCATAAAACCATTTTTTTATCATAAACACAACTTCTGGTCATATGTTTACAGGCAAGTGATGTGCACCAGTATGGCGGCCAATTAAAATGGGATCACGTGACTGAAAACGATCTGTATTTAACACACGATCGTGGACTGGCTGTTAACTATACGCACAACTGTACGTAAATACATGACGTGTGAGTTGTAACAAACTGCATCTTTACAGTCAGTTTAACTGTCAGTTCCTTCTAAAAAAATATTACAAACAGTTGGTCATGCGAGTTAAAAAAAAAACTGGCTCAGGCCGGGTCTTCCAAATTGGTATTACTGTCCATATAAATACCAATGTGGTAGCCGCCCATGGAAAGACCTTTTCCCCTCGAGCAATGCTTCTCTCGTGCTCACAATTGCCATCAAAAATTTGCCCGTAAAGAAGGAGAATGTTGAATAAATATGTTTGATTTAGAACAAACCTAGGAATCCATCAAACACAATGTTCAGGGAGGCATTTCAAGTGTATGTGGTTGTACATGCTCCACCAACATGATGTTGAACAAAACATATTTGATCAGGACTAGAGTATACAGTCGACTCCGATGTAACTATCCATTATTTGGCTGAGCTCAGTGTTCACCTTAGATTCTTCGATTTCCATCTGATCATGTCAATGATCTTTAAAATAAAGAGATTTGCATCCAGCTCCCGGGCAGAATAGAAAAGAGAGTCTCTGCCAGAACTGCTATGTCGCACATGATGGCCTGCGGTTTTGTTACTATTATGCGCACGCATGCCATGTGCGCCTGTCGTTGAATGTAAACCGCCATGTTTGATTAAACCTTGTTGTGTTGTACTAGTTTGATTCATTCAATTCCGCGAGACACAACTGATTGGCGACTAGGATTTAGATCCTACGCAGCAACCAGAGAAACTTCGAGCTTTCGCCACTATGCCGATTGGAAAGATTGAAGCGTTTGACGAAACGAACAACGATTGGAACGCCTATGTGGAACGTGTAGAGCAATACTTCTTCGCCAACGAAATCAAGGACAACAAGCAAGTGGCCGTAATGCTAAGCTTAATGGGAAACAAAATGTATGGATTACTACGCAATTTGGCCGCCCCAGCCAAGCCATCCAGCCTGTATTTCAAGACTATCGTAGAAACACTACAGAAGCATCTGTCACCGAGACCACTGCTCATAGCAGAGCGATTCCGCTTTCACAAAAGGAACCAGCTCGAAGGTGAAACCGTAAGTTCTTACCTGAATTAAAGAAATTGTTGCTGTATTGTGAATTCGGAACTAACTTGAATGTCGCGTTAAGAGATAGACTAGTGTGTGGACTACACAATGAACTTATCCAGAAACGGCTGCTCTCCGAGCCAGATTTGCCATTGGTCAAAGCGTCAGAAATTGCCCTAGCAAGGGAAGCGGCAGCGAAAGACACACTATAATTGCAGGGTAACATTAATAAAGAGTCTGAAGTCAACAAAATAAACAAGGATAGCGAAAGAGTTCCTAAAGGGAAAGATGATGTCAAATCAAAATCTCAGTGTTATCGATGTGGGGGTAGTACACACGAGTCAGCCGAGTGTTACTTCAGGTATAAAACATGCCGAAAATGCGGAAAATTAGGCCATATCCAAAGAGTATGCCGCTCAGAACTCTACCCGAAGACGAAGGGACGAGAACCCCAACCTTCACTCGTTCTAGGTTGATGATGAGCGCGATGATGATAGCTTGGTGGCATCCCTAGAAGTCAACAATGTTAACCATGGGGTAGTTGGTAACGTCATCCGGGTGAAACCAAAAGTTAATGGCCACACACTGAAGATGGAGCTAAACACAGGTTCAGCGATATCTACACTCCCCTTGGAGACGTATAAGGAAACCTTCCCAAACACACCTCTGATTGACACTACCGCTATTTTGAAAACCTACTCATGAGAGGAGATAACACCAGAAGGCAAACTACTTGTTCGCGTGGAATACAACAACCAAGTCAAGGACTTAACGTTACATGTAGTGAAAACACAAGGGCCGGCGTTGTTTGGAAGAGATTGGCTACACAAGATACAACTCGATTGGAAAAGAATCTGTCCTATTTCAAAAGAACAGCCGACACAAGACACCCAGAAGAAATTAGAGAGACTCATAGACTACTATAGTGAGGTGTTTAAGGATGAAATCGGCACATGTAAGTCAGCCAAGGTGAAACTCGCGTTGAAGGAAGGCAGTCAACCAAAGTTTTTTAAAGCAAGGCCTGTCCTATATGCCATGAAACCTAAGGTCGAGGTGGAGCTGAAACGTCTAGAAAAAGAAGGCATACTAAGAAAGGTCAAATTCAGCGATTGGGCGACGCCTATTGTGCCAGTTGCCAAATCAAACGGCACAGTTCGAATTTGTGGCGACTATAAGACCACAGTTAACCCCCAGCTTCAGACAGAAGAGTACCCACTCCCACGCATCGATGACATATTCGCTAAGCTAGCAGGAGGGCAGAAGTTCACCAAGATTGACCTCAGACAGGCCTACCATCAGATGGATGTGGAGGAAGAGTCACAAGAGTACTTGACGATTAACACCCATCAGGGGTTGTACCGATACAACCGCCTGGTATTCGGGATCACTTCAGCCCCAGCAATTTGGCAGAGATCTATGGATCAAATCTTAGAAGGGGTCGAAGGAACTAGTTGCATCTTAGACGACATGATTATCACAGGAAAAGATGACAAAGAGCACCTTGAAAATCTGGAGGAGGTACTGAAGAGGCTACAGGCAAATGGCCTACGAACAAACCGCGAGTAGTGCGAGTTTTTCCAGACGAAGATCACTTACTATGGACACGAAGTAGATCGGCACGGGTTACACAAGACTCAAGAGAAAATTCATGCAGTTGTTAATGCCCCAAGACCAGAGAATGTCCAGCAACTCCGTTCATTCTTAGGCCTGGTAAACTACTACCACAAGTTCTTGCCAAACCTTGCCACCACACTCAATCCCCTTAATGGACTATTGGAGCAAGGAAAACGATGGAAGTGGACCACAGAGTGCGAAGAAGGCCTTCCACTCAGTAAAGAAGCTGATCACATCAGATATGGTGCTCACCCATTATGATCCTGGACGGCCATTGAGACTAGCCTGTGACTCCTCACCAGTCGGAATTGGGGCAGTTTTATCGCACATCATGGAGGATGGCTCAGAGCGACCCATAGCCTTCACATCACGTACCCTAACCAAAGCAGAAAGGAACTACTCCCAAATTGATAAAGAAGCCCTAGCCTTGGTTTGGGGAGTCAAGAAATTCCACCTTTACCTGTTTGGTCGTCATTTCACACTCGTGACAGATCATGAGCCCCTGACCTCAATTTTTAATCCTAAGAAAGGAATACCAGCAATGACAGTTGCTCGCTTGCAACGTTATGCGTTGTTTCTAGCAGGGTTGAATACAGTATTGAGTACAAGAACACAACCCAACATGGAAACGCGGATGGATTGTCACGCCTACCTCTAAAGAAAGCCTGTGACAAGGAAGTGGTTGACCCAGTGGAGATTTTTCAAGTATCCTAGATAGAAGTGCTGCCAGTCAACGCAGATATGATCCGTCAAGCAACTCAGAGAGATCCGGTTTTGACACGTGTGATGGAAAACACAAAGCAAGGGTGGCCAACTGTTAGTGAGAAGGAGCTGGAGCCATTTCAGAGGAAGAAAGATGAGCTCACCATACAGGATGGCTGCCTTATGTGGGGCTCACGAGTGGTAATCCCACCCAAGCACCAGGCACAACTGTTAGCTGAGCTCCATGAAGGCCACCTTGGAATCGTTAAGATGAAGGCCTTGGCCAGGAGCTGCACGTGGTGGCCAGGGATGGACAAAGCAATTGAAGAAGTAGCAAAGGAGTGCACTGGCTGTCAACTTACCCAGAACAACCCTAAGACCGCTCCATTCCACTCATGGGAGTGGCCGGTACGACCATGGCAACGCATCCACATTGACTTTGCTTGCCCATTCTTAGGAACTATGTTTCTGATTGTTGTAGATGCACATTCTAAATGGCCCGAAGTGATACCACTACAACTGCCAGCAGAACAATTGAGGAACTGAGAAAGCTCTTTGCCACACACGGCTCGCCAGAACAGCTTGTAAGCGATAATGGACCTCAATTCATAGCAGATGAATTCGGAGAATTCATGCGAAGTAATGGTATTAAGCACATTAAGTCAGCTCTGTACCGCCCAGCCACAAATGGAATGGCTGAACGTTCTGTACAGACATTCAAGCAAGCTCTCCACGCAGCGCTGGCGGAAAAGAAATCTATCTCTTAGAAGCTGGCAAACTTTTTGCTGGCCTACAGATCAACCCCACATGCATTGACTGGAGAGACACCAGCCGTGCTCCTCATGGGGAGAAACATCAGGACAAGGCTTGATATACTGAAGCCTAACTTACGGAAGCGAGTGGAAGACAAACAACAAGATCAAGAGTTACGGTCAATTCACAGCCCTGCCAGAAAGCTAGAGTTAGGCCAAGCTGTCGTTGCCCGAAACTACAGAGCTGGAAACAAGTGGGTTCCGGGGATCATCACAGCTCACTCGGGACCCTTGTCATATGAAGTCAAGGTCGCACCCAATACAGTATGGCGACGGCATGTTGATCAACTCAGAGAGTCTGCAGTGACTCCAAAATTTAATAAGGAACAGCACACACTGCGATTAAACCCAGCGGTGTTGGCAGCAACACCACAATCAGCAAGTAGCGTGGAGAATGAAGAATTACAGGCTCCCACTACGAGTGGCATGGAGGAACCATGGACCAAAGATACACATGTGGACAACACCCCTGACAACCCTCCCAGCAGCCAAAGCGAGACCATGGTTAGCAGTCCGGCAACACCACCATGCAGACGTTATCCCCTTCGGCTACGGAAGCCACCAGAGAGACCGAACCTGTAACTGAACTGAACTTGTGCGTTATTAATAGAATGTGATTTAAGGGGGAAAGAATGTTATGTCGCACATGATGGTCTGCGGTTTTGTCACTATTATGCGCACGCATGCCATGTGCGCCTGTCGTTGAATGTAAGCCGCCATGTTTGATTAAACCTTGTTGTGTTTTAAAAGTTTGATTCATTCAATTCCGCGAGACACAACAAGAACTTAAACCCGCACCTTTCTATCCCAGGTCCAACGCGCCAAACATTAGCCATAATAACGATAAGACCACAAGGTCACGCGCAAATATTGATTTTACCTTTCATATGCTGCATAATGATAAAATATTTATCAACCAGTTTACAATTATTGGTAAACAAGCTAACTGGAAGCTGGTCATCATGTTGGTTCGTAATAATCCCGATAAGTGATGAATCGATGATTGCGATCATTTCTTAAACAGCAGTTGCTAAAACCAAACATTCATTATCGATGTTTTATATAATCATATGTCAAAATAATCCAGCAGTTTAGCTCGGAAACAATGCAAGGTCAGCGAATACCAAGCCAAATCGTTATCGAAAATTGTTATATATTAGTTATATCTGATACGAACTTGAGAAAGTGTTTCGTTTGCAATCAAGGAAAGATTTAGAATTGCCCCTGTTTCTGATTTTATCCAGTCTTGTTAATAACCGCATTATTCATAGAGCCGAAGAGTGCTACCCACAATTTCTGCAGCCGAGTCAATTAAAAATGTTTGGTGGTAGTTCTTTTAACTGATTGCCCTTTAACCACATGGGATAAAGGATGTCGATGGCAGGTTAGTAATAACAATGACATATAGTATTGAAACGTTTTACATTTTCTCTCAGTATCATCATTTTTTCCTTGCTGATTTGCACAAAGCATAACAGGACAACGTTTCCTTCTATTGGAAAGCACTTTACATGTTTTATCCTTCCCTATGATCTGCTCACCCACTGTTTTCCAAAGATAAAATACTTTTTTTTCGTATAGCACGTTGGTTTTGTCGATCTCACGATCGCGTTTCTACCCAATTTATGCACAGCTCATCCAAGGTAATTTAGAGTAGACGTAAGGGCATTCATGACGATTACAACGAATAAAAAAAAAATGTTGTATTAATTATATACTTAATTTATTTCATTGCATTGTTCATTTTTACATTTAGCTGCTAAGAAAATAATTAACGTATTACGCCAACTCTGATCTGCCAACTCGATAATTATGTGGATCAACCCTATTTGGCTCGTGATAACAAAACCGAGGAAAATAAACAAAACAAAACAAAAATGCAAAATACTTGTTTTTGCATCTATCAATTTATCAGTTGATATATACTTACAGACGAGTTAAGCTGGTCAGGTTGTCAAATATTCCCTCTGGCAACGTTTGCAGCTCGTTGTCCGAGACGGCACTATAGTTGGGTTAAAAAGAAGAAAAAAATCAGAAGTTCAGACTAAAACAGTCTATTTTCTCTTCAACATTGGGTAGACCAGCTTCTTCTTGGTTGTGATCGATTCTAAAAACTGCAGCTAGTCATTCATTACCCGCATGTTAAGTTACGACTAACGTTCTTGCTTCTACTCATTATTCCAATACTTATTTCAAGGATTACTCTGTTATTTATTGTCAGGCTTGAATAACAGGTAAGCATGAACAAGTACAATTTATTTGAATTAATTTTCATCAGATTCCCTTACGATAATGGCGAGCTCACTAAAATTTGCCACGCTCTCGACTCTAACTGTCTCTCAGTCGGTAGTAGCGACCAGGCACTATTCGATAGCATGAGTTTGAATCCAGTCGCAGCACGAATATTTGTTATGCTTCTTTTTTGAAATTTCTATAGACGTACGGTCAACTTGCAAGGATCCTACCCTCAGTAATTCATCATCCTTGGTCAAAGTTTAATTCTTAAAAGACCGCTCAGTTAATTCAGTCTTACATAAGGCTAAAAGAAGCAACCGACATGTTACTTTTCTTTGATGACACTGATCAGCACTCACTCAAAGGATAAATAATGAGTTTACTATACAATACTTATTATTTTTAATAAGGTTAAAATTTAAAATGCTTATGTTATGAGAGAGAAACAACAAAATCGCCATACGAAACGTATCTGTCGATCAATGTAGCAGTTTAGTGTTTAACTAAAATGTCTACGTCTTTCAAATATTCACTTTTGAGTGTGTGTTGTTAATGAAATTGTTCGCGTTGCCTCTCTCTGACTTTCCCGGCCAGCTGTGTTCTGAACAAAGTTTTGTGTTGAAGAATTATTTCTGAGGAGTCGTAACTCTTCGCCTTCAGCGAAGCCTTTGTTAGCTCCCGTTGGGTGACGCGTTGCGTAGAAAGTGAACTAGAATGTCTCTGTTGGTTTGAAGTGGGTTCTTGTATCAAGAACTGACTCTCTGTTGAATCTTTCACCCTTATAGACAGCTGTATCTAAGAAATTAGCTTCTGATATTTAAGCCGGTTTGATTGTTGTTTGGTGTTTATTAACTTGGTCAATGAACTGGTTGATGACATTGTCAATCGCGAAAATTAAGACCAGCGAAAATGGTAAGGTAAGTTAAGCGAATTCCAAGCCAAATCATCATCAAGTATAGTTACATATCAACAACGTCTGACAAAATCTTAAGAGGATCTTTCACATAAATTTAATACTGCAATCAAGGATAATTACCCTTCCCTTGAACTTTACCCTTCACCTAATTTTTTTAGAGACAAGAGAAGAAAAGACGAGCGCTTTGCTTCGGGTAATTGGTTTCTGAAATGCTGATTGCCATGCTTTAAATGGTTGCATTCAAAGTGAAATGAACAAGAAATATGCTTTTGAAGACACAGTTGAAA